GCGATGTTATGAAAATGGTAATCTCCTCATTATTTGTGTGAACTTGTCATCTGCATTATTCTGAGGCATTAGTTGTGACAAGTGTTATGTGCATTGAGAAAGAATGGGTACTTAAGAGGATGTACCATTTCGAGGGACGTATCGCGCGCCGCGATGGATACTATATTTCGAGAGACGTATCGCACGCCGTGATGGTTCTATTATCGAGGGTCGTGTCGTGCGCCGCGACAGATGCATGGACAGATATGTCCCCCATGGGTCCCGGACTGAGAGACAGCGGGTGTGTATCACTAGGTTAGACATGCATCATTATACTTGACATTGAATTCCATTGCATTGCACATACTTACCATTAGTGAACTTGATATCGTATTTTGCTGATCTTCTGATTGTTTTTCTGCGGAACTTGTGATTAATCAATATTGAGCTTGTTATTGCGGATATGTAATTTGTTGAAGTGTGTTATTGAGGATATGTAAATTTGTGGAAGTGTTGCTATTGAGGATATCTAATTTGTTTAAGTGTTGTTGTGGAGGATATGTAATTTGTTAAAGTGTTGTTGTGGAAGATATGTAATTTGTCTAAATGTTTTTGTTTAGTTACGTTCTATGTAAACTGTGAGTTGTTAGGTTGGGCTGATGTTTATGCAGGTTGTAGTTGTGGAGGTTTGGTTGGGGGTGGTAGGAGTACCCGTATTTCATCCCCTTAGCTTGTGTTTAGAGGTTTACTTGCTGAGTACCGTGTGTTTTGGTACTCACCCCTTGCTACTACAAATTTTTTTGTAGGTTACTAGCCCGGACTTTTATGACATATTCTTTTCTTTTTCAAGGCTTCCTGGAGATTTTGTGAGGTAGTTGTTGGTCATCTCAGCATCCCTCCTTACTCTTGTTTATGATTTTGTTCTACTATAGAAACATTATCATATGAGACTTATATTTTATTTCAATTCTAATATTTACATTAGAGGCTTGTGCACGTGACAACCTGATTTTGGGGATTGAATTAATATGACTTGGTTTCATAATAGGAATTGTAGTTGGATTGTCATTTACTTCCGCACTTTGTTAGATATTTGGTTTTAGGCTGACTTGTCTTGGTGGGATAAGACAAGTGCCACCACACCCATTTTTGGATCGTGACACATATAATGTGTTATATTGACATAACTAACACAAAAAAAAATAGAACACAAAATACAATAAATATATGAAATATAAAAATAAATACTAACTATAACACAATAAAAATTCCATATACACTTCCAAACGCATTGTAACATGAACTTTTTTTAATCTTAAAAATTACTAAACAAATTAAACTAACATGCAAGACGCAGAACATGTAAAAAAAACCTCTTCTCCAACAAATTGGTCTTCTTCAACTTCATGGTTATGAATTTGTGTGGGATTTTGCACATCGACGGATTCAGGCATTTTTCTCCGTCGTATATCCTCCTTAGAAGCGGAACCTACATTGTTGTTTAATTCTTGAGTGAAAAAAAAATTAAATGATGAAAAATCGGAAGAACTTTGATTATTTTGTCTAATAACTCTAGTAACTCTCTTGAAAACGTCAATTTAAAAGAAAATTATGTAGTCTCAAACCCTAAAAAATATTTTAAGGACAACAACAAAATTAAAAAAAAACACTAAAATCAGTAAGTAAATAAATAAGGAATCTGAAAAACATAATACCCAAATCATTGTTAATCTTCAAATCAAATCTTGCAACGAAATTAAATGAGAATAGTAGAAAATATTAATATATTGAATCGAAAATCTGTGGAATTGATTTGGAAGAATGTTAGAGAGAAAAATTAAAAGAAGAATAAGAAAAGAGAGAAAAATCTGGAAATTTGATTCGGAAGAAAGTAAGAAAGAGAAATTGATAAACTTAAGAAAAGAAAGAAAAAAATTAAAATGGCATTAATATTTATCCAATTACATAAATATAGGAAAATGTGTAATTTATGAGAGAGAAAGAAAAACTGTAAATAATGAGAGAGAAAATATTAATAATATCATAATAATTATTTATTTTTAAAATAATGACATTTTTGACATGTTTACTAATATTATTAAAGTATGGATATTATCACTAAATAAGTTGGTTTTTTTGACTAGTTAGCTAAATTTTCCTTTAAAATTTGTCAAGTGGATTATTGGGTCCCATTCTCAGAAAAATGGGCCAAATTCATTTCCCCCTCTTCCTTTTTTACTTTTTCTTTTTGATTGAAATCTTCAATTTTCAACATTGCTTTTTTAAAAAAGGGAAAAGGGTCAAATATACCTCTAAATTGTTCAAAATTTTATAAATATACCATCCATTTAAAGTTTGGTTCACTCATGTCCTCGCCGTCCAACTTTTGATCCAAATATGCCCTTATGAGCGTTAGTTGACATGTTGGACATATCCAACTCATTTTTCATTTATTTAAATGTCACATGAAATTGTCATGTCATTTTGACCTTATCACATGATATTTATATGAAAATGGAAATATATTTGGACTCATAAACATCTAATACGACCAGTAAATCAACCCACTTTTAAATAAATTATTCGATCGATTTTCAACAATTCTGTTTAATTTTTCTTTTTTCGATAAATTTCAAAAATGAGTAATTGATTAATAAAAAAATAGGAAGAATATGAAAAGATAAATTTAACCAAAAATTCACAATTAATTATAATAACCTTAAATGACGTGGCAATTCCATGTGGCATTTAAAGAAATAAAAAAATGAGTTGGATATGTCCAACATGGCAACTACGCCCATAAGGGAATATTCGGATCAAAAGTTGGACAGTGAGGGCATGAGTGAACCAAACTTTAAACGGAGGGTATATCTAGACCGTTTCGAATAGTTTAGGGGCATATTTAACCATTTTCCCTTTTAAAAATAATTTTATTTATAAAAAATGTGAAATTTAGTCTAATTCATCGTACTTTGAACATTTTGATATTATTTTTCTTTCATGTATTGATTATTTACATTTCTAAAAATAATTATTAAAAATTATTGTCAATTGACAAATTAAATTATATTTTTATTTTTATTTTCATTACACAAATAATTACACAAGTTTTTGTATTATCTTAATGTAACCCAAAATCAAAAATTTCACAAACATTTAAATATATAAATACTCTTCCGTCAATTTATAAGATATTTTTTATTCTTGAAATCAATTAAAGTAAAATTTTATTGATATTCTAAAGTATATTTTATTTTTTATATTAAAATAAGAACTACAAGTTATAATGTTTTTTCATAGATAATTCTTTCCACATAAGTTGCAATTCAACAAAAAATACTATAACTTGCAATTCTTATCATGTTAGCATATGAAAAAAAATACATTTTATAGCTTGAATTTTGAGAAAAAAATAGTTGAATGAAATGATAGAGAGTAAAATTAAAAAAAAAATGTTGATTATATAATTTAAATAACTATTTATGTTTATTTTAAAACTAAAACAGTTAATTTTTTTATGAGGTCACGTATCTTAGTTTAACTTTTTTTAATTACATAATTATTTGACTTCAAATTCAAATTAATATCAGTTTATTTATCTTGATTTGATTTTTGGCAAATGAAATAAATTTTAAGAGATAATGAAATGCTAATTTTAGTAATAGTACTCTTTTTTCTTTGATCTTTTTTATTGTATTATTTTAAATTTATGTAATGAAATATATTAAGATTAAAAAATAATAATACCAAGTAGTACTTCATATTAAAGAGAGGGGGTAAATAAAAGGTAGAGTGGAAGAGTGAGAAGAGAAAATGAGAGGTTAAAAAGACACGGGACCTATAAATATGTTTTTTTCTATTAAAAAATTTCATATAACTATTACATGTCATATCTCATACACCATAAAAAAATTTCATATGTATCGGTTTAATTAACAATTTCAAATGCTACTTGATTTAAATATTAAACTTATAAAAATTAAAGTTAAAGAATCCCAAAAGAGAAATAAAGTTCATTACGTAATATTTCTTCTTTTAATCAAGAGCCACTTTTTCTTAATTATATTCATGTAAAATAATATAACATGCTATTAAAATATAATATATTAAAGAAAGAAGAGATAGTTTTTTTGCTTGTCTTTTTGGGAACAACCAAAAGGGTGCATGGAGAAAATTTTAAAGATGGTTTTAACATAAAGGCCTAGGTCTAGATGACACATCCAACTATTTTGAAATTATCCGTTAAAAGATACGAAATTTCAGATTAATTTAACTTTAAAAGCTAATTCATAAAGAAAGAATTTATTTAAGTACATATAAAGTGATTACTGATCCATTTTTTAACTAATATGAGATTTTAACCTACTTTAACACCTCCTTCATTCTTAGGTAATTGAAAGCTCAAACTAAATATAACTTCGATATCCTGCAAAAAAAATTAATATTTGATCCTAACTCAATTCCAACCATCACTTCATTTCTCAACCAATACGAAATTTTAACCCCTCTTATAATATTTATTTGAAAATGTTCCAAAAGCTATTAGTATAGTTTATAAAATAGTAAGGGGAATCCTGCAGTAAAAGTGTAATTGCATAATCAAAGCCATCATAACTAAAGCCACTTCCTCTACTTAAAACAATTAATTAAGTAACCATCATTAATTAGCACCGCCATTTTATTGTGAGTAGTAGCAATTTAAAGGTAATTATGGTTAATGATGGACATTATCATCCTTAATGAAAAAAAATTATGGGTAATGCTAAATGGCTAAAAATTCAAAAAATTTATAATATTCTTTATTTTTAAAATAAACTGATTTTTTTTCATTTTTAAATTAAAAGATATTAAAATTTAAAGGATAAAAATGTTTTTAAAAATAAAATAACGTCATTCAAAATATATTATTTTACCATTTTGATTAAATTCTGACTAAAATGATTTTTTAGAAATACAAATTCTAATTAATTAATGGTCTCTATCATGATGAATAAGATAAAAAGCATAATAATTACTCTCAAAACATTTTTGGTTCATGTACCATCTTTTTCATCTCAAATTGCCGACAAATTAAAGTTAATGTCATTGATGTTTGATGGCTCATTTAATTAGTTTCAAACCAAATTATAATTAAGTTCGTACTATTGAAATAAAGTCAAAAGAAAGTTGGTGTTATGTCGATAATTAGTTTTGCCAAAGGTTTCAATCACTAAATATAACAAGTCAATAATTTTTAGTGTACTCTCTATATGCATTGATCGATTCGATTTGGTTTAATATATTATTGGTTTTTAATTTTTAAGTATGCTAAATTAATAAAATATTTTTGATTGATTTTTTAATTTTCGATTTACCCAATAAAAAAATCTCATAAAATAAATATATAGAATTATCTCATAGCTTCTCTAACAATTTGGTGTGGTATCGTGTGACAAATAAATCAGTTATAAAAATATGTTGATATAGTGAAATAAGAAATGTAATGAGAAATTGCATCAATACAAGTACATGTAGTACGAAAGCTGTAACTACATGTTACAACCAAAATACAATATGCAATTTCTGATGTGAAGTAAAATACGGTGATATGTGAAATATGTAGACCGTAGTGTAGATTACTGTATAGTATCCACTATGTTAAAATATTAATGTTTAATACTTTTGAAGGGTACAACGATAAATTACTATCATCTAAATGGGTAATCGATATTACCCAATAACCTATATCGATAACCCATACTAAAAATTGATACAAAATTTATAACCCAATAATTTTTATTTATAAAACCATAAAAACATATTAACTCAATTATATGATTTTGATTCAGTTTATTAGTCGATTTGAGTTCTACTCAAAACGTTCTTTAATTTTTTTAAAAACTTAATAATGATTTTTTTAATTCTAAATATGGCTATTAATGCTTTATGAAGTTATTTGATACCAAGGATAGTATGAGAGAAAAATAGTCAACTTTTTTTATTAATAAACAAAAATATATTTATTTTTTTAATATAAAAACCAAATAAAATACCATCATTTGCAATTTGACCAATATACCAAAATTCAAGGTCATCTTCCATTGTTTATAGGAAAAGTAACAAAAGGACAATAATTAAAATTTAGATACAAGTAATAAAGGAACCATAATTTTCACCTGGCAAGTAAAAAAATGAAAGAAAGAAAAAAGGTTATTGTTTAAAATTATGGAATTAGTCACAATTAACAATTTATCTATAAAAAAAAAATAGGTATAGCTTAAAAATATTATAAAAGATCAATAATAACAATTTTCCCCCCTCTCTACTCCCTCTTCTTGCACTCTACTCTATCTCTCTTGTCAATTGTAATAGAAAAATTATATTTTGTATTTTATTTTAATTATATTTAAAAAAATTATATTTTGTTTTTTTTTATCAATGTATTTGTATTCATACGAGTGTAATATATATTTATTTTCTCTGCCCAATGTATTTGTATCCAATCAAAGAGATTATTAATGTCACGACCCAAAACGAGCCGCGAGTGGCACCCACACTTACCCTCCTATGTGAGCGAACCAACCAATCTAAACCCTAACATTTCAATCATAATAAACAGACTCATTAATATAACCAATAAATAACTTCTAAAATTTAATACTTATTATTCCCAAAATCTGGAAGTCATCACCACAAGAACATCTATCCTCAAATTTCTAAGTCTAAGAGTATTTAAGAAACTAAAATAGGTAAAGAGATGGTCCGTGTCCGAACTTCAAGACATCAAGACGTGAAGGAAAGAATCCAGCCCGAGCTAGGAACAATAGTTCACCCTGAAATCTGATATGCTGAAGACTGGCTAGAGTTGCGGACGAGTCGAGGT